TAGTATTTCATTGTATGGCTGTACCACAGTTTGTTTATCCATTCACCAGTTGAAGGACATTGGGTTATTTACAATTTTGGTAATTATGAATAAAGCTACTATAAATATTGGCATGTTTTTTTAGTGAATATAAGTTTTCATTTCACTTGGGTAAAGACCCATAAGTGAGATTTGCTGAGTCATATGGAAATTGTATATTAAACTATTATAAGAAACTGACAAACTATTTTTCAAAGTGGCTGTGCCATTTTGTCTACCAGCAATGTATGAGAGAGATAGTCACTCCACATCCTCACCTCATTTGGTATCGTCAGGGTTTTTTTTAAAACTTTAGACATTCTAATAGGTATGTAGTAGTATTTAATTGTGGTTTAACTTGCATTTCCCTAACAATGATTAATGATATTGAGCATTTTTATGTATTTATTTGCTATCAGTATCTTATTGGGTGAAGTGCTTATTCAAGTCTTTTGCTCATTTTTTATCGGATTATTTGTTTTCTTATTGAGTTTTCAAGAATTCTTTATATATCCTAAATACAAGTCCCATGTCATATGTATGTTTTGCAAATATTTTTTCCCAATTAATGACTCATCTTCTCTTAACAGTGTTTCTTGAAGAACAGACATTTTCAATTTTGGTAAAAGTCCAATCTTCATTTTTTTCTTTTATGGATTGTGTTTTTGGTTTCATATCTAGGAAATCTTTGCCTAACCAAGATTATAAAGATTTTCTCCTCTGTTTTCTTCAAGAAGTTTTATAGTTCTTGGTTGTATACTTAGGTTCTATGATTCATCTTGAGTTAATTATTATATATGGTACAAGGGTACAGGTTGAGTTCTTTTTTCTATGAGATTTCCTTTTTTTTTTTTTTTTGAATATAGATGTCCAGTTCTAGCACCATTTGTTGAAAAGACTATCGTTTTCTATTGAATTACCTTTGCACCTTTGTGTGTGTGTGTGTGTGTATGTACACCTATTTTGAACTCTCTATTCCATTGATTTGTGCATACAATAAGCAATTGTTTATGGTTAAATATGAAGAAGCAGCCAAGAGAATGTGCTTAGGAGCCAAACTGTCTGGGTTTGAGACTGAACTCAAGCACTTACTAACAGTATGACCTTGGGCAAGTTATTTAACCTCTGTGTACCTCAATTTTCTCATCCATAAAACAGATAATTATAGTATACAACCCTCATAGGGGTTTTTATAGATTGAGTGGATGATTATAGAGCACTTAGTATGATGCCTGGCACATATATGTAGTGCTTTTTTACTCTTGAATCCTATTCATACTGGATTTCCATTAAAATTAATAAATTCCATTATTTTATATCAGATTATCATTATGGGAGTTTAATTGTGGAGGTGAATTTTAATGAAATATTTGCATTGCTGTTCAAAGAATAAGATGTTAACTTTTGTTTTCTGTTGGGAAACTAATGCTTACCCTAATTTAATAGCTATAAGGCATTAAATCAATATCAGATGAATTCCAACCCCTGAAATTTTTCTTTGATTTTGAAAGTATATGCACTACCTGTTAAGGAATGTAATAAGAAATGCAGCCTAAACTAAACTCATTTCATAAATGGCTCTTGTGAAAAAGTAATTTAAAACATGACCTTTCCATGTTTATGATTTTAGGCACTTTATTTGAGAACTAGTAACTTTTGCAAAATTATTATGGGTCTAAGCTTCAGGTTGTTTACTATTAGTTTTTGTTTTGAAAAACTGTCAGGAATTGTTGAGGAAATACAGCAACATAAATCCTAAATTTCTTCTTATAAGACTGTGTTGATAATCCACATAATTATGTGCACTCAAACAGGCTGCCATAACAGAATACCACAGACTGGGTGGCTTAAATAACAGAAGTTTATTTCTTATAGTTCTAGAGCATGGGAAGTCCAAGATCGAGGTGCCAGCAGATCTGGTGTCTGGTGAGGGCTCTCTATCTAGCTTACAGACAGCTGCCTTCTTGCTGTGTTGTCACGTGGCCTTTCCTCTGTGACTCATCCTTCTGCCTTACCTCTTATAGCCACTGAATTACTGAGTGATTCAAAAGTGATTCAAAAAGAATTGCTGATTCTTTTTCCTCAATATTTCTCAAATTCATCCCATCCCCTTCTTCCCTATTAAGTACATTTCTAGTTCTAGCCCTTTCTGGATGACCACAGTAGCCTCTCAGATCCATCCATGTTCCATGTTTCCTTATTCTTATTGGAGTAATCTTCCTGAAATGTAAATTTTGCTTATTTAAATCCTTCTGTAGCTCGCTATTGCCTGTGGGTAACTTCCAAGCTTTATAATATGGCCCCTGCCTACCTGTCTAGCTTCATCTAGTACCCTTCTTGTAATACTAAACCACTTTTAGTTTTCTGACCACTTCCTGAATAATTTTACTTTGGTCATTCTGTTACTTTTGCCTGACATGGCAAGGGGGGCACCCCTTTTACCTGGTGAACTCTAGATGATTCATTCTCACTTCATGCAGAAAGTCTTCCATTTCACTCCTCCTTCCTGCCCCAGGTGTTCCTCCTCAGTGTTTCCAGAACATTCTCAGCATCTCTCATTACATGGTCCAGGGTTGTTTTTAAACTATCTGTTTAGGTGAGTGTTTACTTCTTTTATAGAAAGCTGGTCATATTCATTTTAACGCCTAGAACAATGTTGGGCGCTTTTGGTATAAAAAAATTGGGTATTCAAATGTTTGATTGAGTGACCAAAGATCCAGAAAGTTAAAGTGACTTTAAGATCAGACTCATAGGTAACAAAATTGGGACTGAAAAACAAGTACCTCCTTTATTGCTTCATACTACAGACCAGTGCTCCTCCTTGTACAGTATGTAAAACTAGGTAAGTATAATATTTATTGTGTAATTACTGAAAAAGTCACTTTAAGCTTGTTTGCTTAATGATTGAGATGATTAAATTTTGCTTTGTAAATCAAATTTTTATATACTGTATCAATGGAAGCCTATCTGTAGTACATGAATAGTTTCATATAAAATTTATATATTCACAAATAGTTAAAACAGTTCAAGTAGATAAAAAGGTTACTTGGGCCAGGCATGGTGACTCGGCACCTATAATCCCAGCACTTTGGGAGGCTGAGACAGGAGGATTGCTTGGAGTTCAAGCCCAGGAGTTCAAGACCAGCCTGGGCAACATAGTGAGACCCCAGCTCTACAAAATATTTTAAAAATTAGCCAGGTGTGGTGGTATGAGCCTGTAGTCCCAGCTACTTGGGAGGCTGAGGTAAGAGGATCACTTGAGCTCAGGAGTTTGAGGTTACAGTAAGCTATGATCCAGCTATTACACTCCAGCAAGGTCCTATCTCAAAAGGAGGGAAAAAAGGACACTTGAAAACAATCAAAATAGGCTTTTAGTGACTATATAATTTTATAGGTCAATTAAAATAAAACATTAATATGGCAGATTCCAGGCATACTATTTAAAAGATTACATGAGCTATAGTTTAGACTATCTAAGGATGGAAATGACAAAATTTGAAAAATTACATTTATAGCTCAATAAATGTTTGAATCAAATTTGTAGATGCAAGCACTGACATATTGGGATTCTTTTGCCTTAAGATTCTTCCATTTTCTGTAGCATATTGCAGAAATCAGTCAGAGTTTAGAAGTTGAGACTCATACATCAATTTGTGGTAGGACAGAGAAATATATTTCAGTCTGGGTACATTTCCAATTTCAGAATTGTTTTAAAAGTATCAATTTTAAAAGCAAAGCATCAAAAAAGAAAAAGCATCAGGAAGCTGAAATAATATGTAGTGATTAAGATAGTTAGATACATAGCATTTGAGTTTAATTTTTATAGCCTCCTTTATTAAAATGATAATTTTTTAAATAAGTTCTTGATCCTAGTACTCCACGAATTTTAGTAAATTTTTTAGTTATATAAATTCCAAATAGGCTAAAAGGCTAATGACAGTAGCAGTGATGATATGGGTGTCACCTGGGTTAAGTTACAAGAAGACTTAAACACATAGTGTCACAGAGGCTGCCCTTTAGCTTTGCATGCCCAGAAACACAATTTGATAGGAAAGAGAGAGTGGCTATATCTCCTGGGAGGTATGTATGTTAACCAAGATCATAAGTTTTATAATGAGAGCTGTAGTTGCCAAAAGAACCAGACACTCAAGTCTTCCAGGTACATATCTTTTTCCTATAGATATGCCATATACTAGGGAAGGCTAATAATTTTTAAACACTTTAATTTTTAATTGATGAGGCCCTTTTCCCCCATATAACCACAATGCCATTATCACACCTAACAAAATGAAAAATTCCTTAATATCATCTAATATGATGTGTGTGTGTATTTTCTCGGTTGTCTCAAAAAAGTGATTTTTTTTTTTTTTTTTTTTGAGACAGAGTCTTGCTTTGTTGCCCAGGCTAGAGTGAGTGCTATGACGGCAGTCTAGCTCACAGCAACCTCAAACTCCTGGGCTCAAGCAATCCTACTGCCTCAGCCTCCCGAGTAGCTGGGACTACAGGCATGTGCCACCATGCCCGGCTAATTTTTTCTCTATATATTGGTTGGCCAATTAATTTCTTTATATGTATAGTAGAGACAGGGTCTCGCTTTGCTCAGGCTGGTTTCAAACTCCTGACCTCAAGCAATCCACCTGAGTTGGCCTCCCAGAGAGCTAGGATTACAGGCGTGAACCACCGGGCCCAGCCTTCAAAAAAGTGATTTTACAGTTGGTAGATTTGAAACTGTATGCAGTGTCCACACATTGTATTTGGTGGATATGTCCTTGAGTCTTTCTAAGTTTTCCTCTCCCTTTTTCCCACTCATGCCTTTTATTAGGAGAAAAAACTTACCCTGTTTGTTTTCTTACTATGTTGCAAAGTCAGTGAGATTAGGAACTTATATTTTAGCACTAAGAACTGTGCCTGGCACCCAATAAGCACTTGATATATGTTGAATAATGTTAATAATACTAAAAGTCTGTGTTTTGTCCCTGCAGGTTGATCCAAAAGACTACATGTTCAGTGGATTAAAGGATGAAACTGTAGGTCGCTTACCTGGGAAAGTGGCAGGACAACAATTTCTTATTCAAGACTGTGAGAACTGTAACATCTATATTTTTGATCACTCAGCTACTATTACCATTGATGACTGTACTAACTGCATAATTTTTCTGGGACCAGTGAAAAGCAGTGTGTTTTTCCGGAATTGCAGAGATTGCAAGTGCACGTTAGCCTGCCAACAATTTCGTGTGCGGGATTGTAGAAAGCTGGAAGTCTTTTTGTGTTGTGCCACTCAACCAATTATTGAGTCTTCCACAAATATCAAATTTGGCTGTTTTCAATGGTACTACCCTGAATTAGCTTTCCAGTTCAAAGATGCAGGGCTCAGTATCTTCAATAATACATGGAGTAACATTCATGACTTTACACCTGTGTCAGGAGAGCTCAACTGGAGCCTTCTTCCAGAAGACGCTGTGGTTCAGGACTATGTTCCTGTACCTACTACTGAAGAACTCAAAGCTGTCCGTGTTTCCACAGAAGCCAATAGAAGCATTGTTCCAATATCCCGGGGTCAGAGACAGAAGAACAGTGATGAATCATGCTTGGTGATATTATTTGCTGGTGATTATACTATCGCAAATGCCAGGAAACTAATTGATGAGGTAAGGAAAAAGAGAAGAGAAAAATAGACATACACCTAGATAAAAACATACCACTCTGGAGAACTGTTCTTTTCAAATTGGCTATTAAAAAATACAGGCAAACCTCAAGTTATAGTTCTCTGCACCCCACCCCCCCCCCAGCCCCATTAGATTTGTCTGTAAGCCAGTTGGTTGGGCCTCAAAATATTTTCCCAAAGGAACTTTTAAAAATTGTAATTCAATTCAGTAAGCATTTATTAAGCACCTATTATGTACAGTTACTCTGTTACCATATTTCATTATGTAGTTTGTTTTCCACATTTTTATCTATCTGAAATGCATCTTATAATTGATAGCAACTTAGAAATGATGAAATATAGTATATGCTGGAGATGGATAGATAGACAAGATTCTCTGCCCTCAAAGAGTTTCCATTCCTTATAATAAATGATTGCCAGGCTGGGCACAATGGCTCATGCCTGTAATCCCAGCACTTTTGGAGACTGAGGTGGGAGGATTGCTTGAGACCAGGAATTTGAGACCAGCCTGAGCAACATAGTGAGACCCTGTCTCTAAAAAAAAAAAAAAAAAAAATGCCAGATGTGGTGGCACACGACTGTAATCCTACCTGCTGGGAAAGCTGAGGCAGGAGGATCCCTTGAGTCCAAGAGGATCCCTTGAGCTATGATTGCACCATTGTACTCCAGTCTGGGCAACAGAGCAACAGTCTGTCTCTAAAAAAAAAAAAAAAAAAAAACACGTGAATGAATAATTTCCAGAGAAGGTTATAAAAGTAATACTGGATAGTAAAGCATGGTCCTTTATAATTATTTACTGGGGAAATATCTTTGGAGTTCTAATTGGTTAGGGGGTAGAAAAGACATTTAGGAATACAACTTTTGGACCCTGTTGTTGTGAAACCAACCTCCACATTGCATTCTTTATTTTTCTTTGCCTTATTGCCATAGAGGGAAGGTTAGTGAGGGAGAGTAAGATAGGAGCTGAGTTGGCAAAGGTTGTGGGCTTATGGGCAGTAGCTCTTGGTGAGCTCATGCGCAGAGAAGGGTCCTTTGGATAACCACTTCTGCTTGAAAAATAATTGGGGATATAGAAATTAGGGACTCCAGAAGCAGCAGTTCTTCATTGGTGTGTGCTCCAGTAGGAAAACAGCACTAGGACATATTATCCATTAATCAGTTGTTCTTTAGGAGAAATCTGTTTGAATTTTTAAAAAATGAAACTTCCAGAAATGGAGAAATGAACAGAAAACTCACAAAGTCTCTTTTAGAAAGGAATGTTTTAAAAGTTAGAACATATCAAAAGGTATGATTTTAGGCAAAAAATTAAAAATGACTACCTCTCTATAGCTATATATTCTACAGTATATAAAACCCATGTCTGGAGTTTTCATTCTGAAGGTTCTCTGTTAAATTAAATAAATTTATATCTTCTCCCTATTAAAAAAAAAGAAAACCCATGTCTGAAATCTACAAAGTATATTTGAGGTATCGTTTTTGAAACAACAGAAGCCAAATTATAATTTTAAGACTTTGATATTTTCTTTTTCACATATGCCAATTTGATAAAAGCATACTGTGAATCTGGTGGTAAGATATCAGAAAAATGTGCTTCTGGTTTTTTGAGCTATCTAATCTCATGTTAATCTAACATCTGAGGAGTAAATATTTTCATTATACTGTATAGTGATTTTTTTAAAAAATCTACATACAGTTTTCAAAAGATGTAGTTATTTAGGTTAAACTCCTTTTTGGTAGGTAATGAGGAGTGGACACAAAGAATATTTTTCATGTTTAAAGAAAAAAAAATCAAAACAGTCTTTCTTCATGAATCATCAATGTTCTTTTTTTCTTTTTTTCATCAATGTTCTTAACCTTTTAATCTTTGGTATCTGGTGTGTGAAATGGCAGTGTTATGTGCTCTTGAAAGGAATGTGACCAGGAAGAGTGATGTTCTTTAGATGTCCTCTAGAATACAAAATAAAAATCCCACAGTAGGCCGGGCGCGGTGGCTCACACCTGTAATCCTAGCTCTCTGGGAGGCCGAGGCGGGTGGATTGCTCAAGGTCAGGAGTTTGAAACTAGCCTGAACAAGAGCGAGTTCCCCGTCTCTACTATAAATAGAAAGAAATTAATTGGCCAACTAATATATATAGAAAAAATTAGCCGGGCATGGTGGCGCATGCCTGTAGTCCCAGCTACTCGGGAGGCTGAGGCAGGAGGATTGCTTGAGCCCAGAGTTTGAGGTTGCTGTGAGCTAGGCTGACGCCACAGCACTCACTCTAGCCTAGGCAACAAAGCGAGACTCTGTCTCAAAAAAAAAAAAGAAAAATCCCACAGTAATAGTAGTAATAGATTATTAAGTATAAAATGTCAAATTTCTTTAAGTACTAAGTTTGACAGTTATGATATCTTTGACATTTCATTTTGACACTTCTTGTTTTATTTTTATTATGAAGGTACATCCTCAGTCTTACAAATGCATGTTTTGGCTTGTGATTATCTGTCAGGTTTTTTTAGAGCAATTTTTGTGAAACCATGGATAAGTCAAAAATTCGTGTTATTTTCGAATATGAATCCCGTTGTGGAACCAATGAAGCACAGCCAGCTGGAAATAACAACTAAGCATTTGGGAAGGATGTGGCTAATGAACTCACAGTACATCCATGGTTTGAGAAGTTCTGTTCTGATGATTTTGATCTTGAAAATGAGCCACGTGGGTGACCTAAGACCAAGGCAGATAATGATGAGCCGAAAGCTATCATGGAAGTAAATCCGTCTCAACCTATGCGTAAATTAACAGCAAGGTTTGACGTTACTATTTCAACAATATTGGACCATTTGAAACAAATGGGCAAGATAAAGAAGCTGGATAGATGGCTTCCCCATGAATTAAACCAGCATCAGAAGAGAAATTGGCTCAAAGCTTGCCTTTCTTTGCTGTCATGACATAAAAGAGAACCACTTCTACACCACATTGTTATGTGTGATGAAAAATGGATTCTATTTGATAATCACAAGTGTCTGGCACAAAGGTTGGATAAAGCCAAAGTGCTGAAACAGAGTCCAAAACCAAATGTTCATCAAAAAAAGCTGATGGTGTCTGTTTGGTGGTCCAGTGCTGATATTATCTACCACAGCTTTGTGAAACCTGGTCAATTGATTACAGTGGCTGTCTTTTGCAACCAATTCTACAAAATGATGAAGATGCTTGCAATTAAGCAGCCAACATTGGTCAGTAGAGACAGGCCGATCCTCTTGCAAGACAATGCTCGACCACAAGTCGCACAAACAACACTGCTCAAACTATAAAAGCTGGACATGGAAACTCTCTGTCATCCATTGTATTCATCAGACCTTGCACCAACTGACTGCCACTTCTTCTAGGCTTTGGACCACTTCTTGCAAGGAAAAATATTCCATTCTCAACAAGCTGTGGAAAACGAACGCCTTTTGAGGTTTCATCGCTACTTGCTCTCCAGGCTTCTTCACTGCTACATAAACAAGCTACCATTATGATGGCAAAACTGTGTTAATAGTTTAAGTGCATACTTTGATTAATTGTATTGCTTCTTGTTTGAGGTATAATAAACTACACATTTTTTAAATTTCAGAATATTATGGGGGTATACACTTTTTGGTTACATAATTTGCTTTTGTACAGTTTGAGTCAAAGTTATGTGTGCTCTTCATCCAGATAGTGTGCATTGTACCTGTTAGATGTAAATTTACCCGTCCTCTGCTCCCCCTCCCACCTGCTTGATTTCCATTGAGTTTTACTTCCATGTGTGCACGTAAGTGTTGATCGATTAGTTCCAATTTCGTATTGAATACATGTGGTGTTTGTTTTTCCATTCTTCTGATACTTCACTTTGAAGAATGGTCTCCAGTTCCATCCATGTTGTTACAGAAGATACTAGATCACCATCTTTTATGGCTGATAAACCACACTTTTGATTCGAAATCAGACATTTCATATTTAATGACCTTAAATAGCTAACACTTTATTGGTGTTTACTATATGCCAGGCACTGTTATAAGGAATTTAAATGAATTAACTCAATGCTCAAAACAACCCCTATGAAATAGGTGCCATTTCATTATTTTATTTACAGATATGGAAAATGAACTGCAGAGAGGGTAAGTACCTTGCAAAAGGTCACTCAGTTACAGCAGAACCATAATTCAAATCCAGGCATTCTGGCTTTGTAGGCCACAGTCTTAACCCTTAAACATGATACTGTTATACTGCCTCCGTGGTGCAGAAAAGCCTGGCAGAGTAGGAACATGGCCTAAAGCATGTGTACTCAAGGACCCTCCAGCCTAGGGACTCTTTGGCTACAGTTATCCTATCTAATTCTGAAAGTATAGAATTAAGGAATGAAAAGAACAAAAATAAACAAAGAAAATGCCAAGTACATGTGAAGATGGTATCAAAACATGCTGAAAAATGGTGATCTAGCATTTCTTGTATTATCCTGGATGGAGCTGAAGCCCATTCTACTAAGTATCACAACAATGAAAAAACAAGCACAACATGTACTCACCATCAAGTTGGTATTAACTGACCAATACTTAGGTGCACATACAGTAATAACATTCATCAGGTGTTGGACAGGTGGGAGGGGGAGGAGGGGATGGGTATATACACACCTAATGGGTGTGGTGCACACTGTCTGGGGGATGGACACAATTGAAGCTCTGACTCTGGGCAAAGGCACTATACGTAACCTAAACATTTGTACCCCCGAAATATGCTGAAATAAAAAAAAATTAAAAAAACCCAAAACATGCTGAAAGACAAAAGGTTTATGTATTATTATATATTAATATGTTAAGAGTAATTACATTTTTTAAAAAATGAAGCTTGAATTCTTAGGGAAATATGTATAGAAACTAGTTAATTCCAAGATAAAAATAAAACCTCAGCCTTTCTCATATCATAACACAAATAAGCTTAGACTGGACCTATGATTGCTAACTCTAGTTTTGTTAAACCCTAGGAGTATCATAGAATTTTGTTTCACATTGTTTTTATAAATTAATCATAATGGTTTTTTGAGATACAAAATGTAAAATTGTGAGGGTGGGAAAATTGCTGGGTAAAGCAGACAGCACATTCCATAGAGAGTCAAGAGAAGTTACTGGGCCTTGATTTTCTCACCTGAAAATCAGGTTTCTTGCTTGCTATTAGCTACATCATAGATATGTACAGGATAAATTAGAATAAAAATAGCTTGAATTGTTTGGGAGCATTTCATAATTTAAGTTGGATAGTTACCACTATTTTCAAGTCTTTAAAAGTAGAATTTTCAGCCTGGTGCGGTGGCTCATGCCTGTAATCCTAGCACTCTGGGAGGCCGAGGTGGGCAGATTGCTCGCCGGTGGGTCAGAAGTTCGAAACCAGCAAGAGCAAGACCCCATCTCTACTATAAATAGAAATTAATTGGCCAACTAATATATATAGAAAAAATTAGCCAGGCTTGGTGGCGCATGCCTGTAGTCCTAGCTACTCAGGAGGCTGAGGCAGAAGGATTGCTTGAGCTCAGGAGTTTGAGGTTGCTGTGAGCTAGGCTGACGCCATGGCACTCACTTTAGCCTGGGCAACAAAGCGAGACTCTGTCTCAAAAAAAAAAAAAAAAAAAGAAGAGTAGAATTTTTGTTAAAACGAGTCTCTTCAAATATCTGCAGTGAAAATATTAAAGTATAGTTTCATAGCTTATTTGTTTCAAATAATGGTATATTTATCATCAAAATCTTGTCAGTTTGGATCTGACTATAAAATGAGAGATGATGAGCAATCTAGAAAATAAGAAAGGATTGTTTCTGATATTTTAAGTAACTTTATAGTCATCATCCAACAGTGATGTCCATGTAATGTTCTGAAATTTTTTAATGTATTTTTCTTTTTTCAGAAGCAGCACTGAGTGAGGATTCTGAAATAGGATTTGAGTTTAATCCAATTTGATGAAGTGATATGGAATAATGTAGCCATAGGATGAAATACTATCAGCTATTAAAACTGATTTTATAGTAGAATAGCTGAAAAATGTCACAAATAACTGAAAATTTGTGAAATATTATGTAACTGATTTTTTTAAAAAGATAAGTCTGGAAAGTTATATATACTAAAATGTTAACAGTTGTAGTTATTCTTAGGCAGTTGAGTAAGAGCAGGGTTTTCTTTTCTTTTTTTGTAGTTCTGTGGATTTTACAATGAGCATGTATTATTTCTGTAATAGGGGGAAAAGAAAACTGGGAGGGTAAAAGGAAGTATACCTGTATGGCAGTGGCATCTTTTGAGTTATAACACCTCCATTGATATTTCTTTGTTTCTATTTTTATTTTTCAAATGTTCTATGTTGATCATAAATGTTACTTTTTATTAAAAACCCAATACGCTTTGCTTAAAATTAAGTGGTTGGAATGACTTTGCATTTTTAAAACTACCTTAATAGTTACTTTTAAAATTAATATGTACTCATTGTCAAAAACTGGAAATAAAGAATAAAAATAGGCCGGGCCTGGTGGCTCACGCCTGTAATCCTAGCACTCTGGGAGGCCAAGGCAGGCGGATTGCTCGAGGTCAGGAATTTGAAACCAGCCTGAGCAAGAGTGATACCCCGTCTCTACTATAAATAGAAAGAAATTAACTGGCCAACTAATATATATATAGAAAAACTTAGCCAGGCATGGTGGCACATGCCTGTAGTCCCAGCTACTTGGGAGGCTGAGGCAGCAGGATTGCTTGAGCCCAGGAGTTTGAGGTTGCTGTGAGCTAGGCTGATGCATGGCACTCACTCTAGCCTGGGCAACAAAGCAAGACCCTGTCTCAAAAAAAAAAAAAGGAATAAAAATAAGTTTAAAACACTTTTGTAATTGTACTGTACTTTGAATAGTCTTTTTAGGAATAATTTTTTAATTTATTTAGTCTGTAATCAGATTAAATGGGTTCGAATCACAGCCATGTCACTTAATAGTTACAAGACCTTAGGGAAGTTTCTTAATCACTCTGCCTTAGTTTTGTCATGTGTGCAATGAGGGTAATAATAATACTTCATGAGAGTGTTAAATGTATTATACATGTAAAGTGCATAAAACTGCCTGCCTCACATGGTAAGTGTTCCATAAATGTGATCTGTCATTATTATTCTATACTATTAGGTCATTAAATATGAAATGTCCGATTTCAAATGAAAAATGTAGTTTATTATATCTCAAAGTAGAAGTAGTACAGTTAATCAAAGTATGCGCCTAAACTATCGACACAATTTTGCCATCTTAACGGTAGCTTGTTTATGCCAGCAGCAAAGAAGCCTGGACAGCAAGTGGTGATGAAATTGAGAAAATGCAAGGTCTGGTGAATACGGTGGATGACAGAGAGTTTCCATGTCCGGTTTCTGTAGTTTGAGAAACATTGTTTGTGTGACATGTGGTTGATCATTGTCTTGCAAGAGGATTGGCCCGTCTCTCGCATCCTCATCATTTTGTAGAATTGGTTGCAGTAGACATCTGCTATAATCTGTGGGCCAGGTTTCATTAAGCTGTGGTGGATAATACTGGCGCTGGACCACCAAACAGACACCATCAGCTTTTTTTTTTTTTTTTTTTTTTTTGATGAATGTTCGGTTTTGGACTCTGTTTCGGCATTTTGGCTTTATCCAACCTTTGTGCCAAACACTTGTGATTATCAAATAGAATCCATTTTTCATCACACATAACAATGTGGTGTAGAAGTGGTTCTCCTTTATGTCATGACAGCAAAGAAAGGCAAGCTTTGAGCTAATTTCTCTTCTGATGCTGGTTTAATTCATGGGGAAACCATCTATCCAGCTTCTTTATCTTGCCCATTTGTTTCAAATGGTCCAATATTGTTGGAATAGTAATGTCAAACCTCACTGCTAATTCATGCATAGGCTGAGACGAATTCGCTTCCACGATAGCTTTCAGCTCATCATTATCCACCTTGGTCTCAGGTCACCCACGTGGCTTATTTTCAAGATCAAAATCACCAGAACAGAACTTCTCAAACCATTGATGTAGTGTGAGTTCATTAGCCACATCCTTTCCAAATAGACATTTCATACTTAATAACCTAATATTAAAAAGTTACATCATGCCTTTTAAAATTAACATTATTACCTAAGCTATTCCCTATCTTATTATAACATCTTTTTTGTATTTAATGAACTGTGATACATGTGATAAACTATGGTGTTTCATCATGTGAATGTAGCATAATTTACTTCACCATTCTCCTCTCACTGGACAATTGCAGAATCACCAACCTAAAGCATCCATCTGGTAGTTCAGGCAAAAAAAAATTTTTTTTAGTTATGTTTTAAATTTGGAGGATAATTCGCATTTATTTGTCCCTTAGTTTTAACCATAGGGATTACGGTACTAATTCTTTACCAGAACCACCCATCTGGAAAAAGGAATCTTGTATATTTAGGAACTTATTACAGCAAGCAACCTGAATTAGTGCCAAGACTCAAACAAAAAGTAGCGTGCTGTTTCTATACAGAAAAATACTAGAATAGAAAACATTGTTGTAGTCTCAGAAGTTCATTTTAAAATCTAAATAAAATTTTATTTTTTACAGATGGTTGGTAAAGGCTTTTTTCTAGTTCAGACAAAGGAAGTGTCTATGAAAGCTGAGGATGCTCAAAGAGTTTTTCGGGAAAAAGCACCTGACTTCCTTCCTCTTCTGAACAAAGGTACCTTCTGGATTATTGGTGTACTTTTGTGGTTATTTTCTTTACATGCTGACTTGCTTTAGTCTTGCTTTTAACATTTCTCTTACTTTGCCTTCTCCTTCTCATTTGTTCTGCATTTTTTCCTATTACTGTTCAGAAAGTAAAATTTCACATCACTCAAGGAGCCCAATATAACTAACTAGAAATTAGGCCTTAGTTTTATTTTCCTATCTTATGTTCTTAGTACATCAAATTATACTTTACATATATATATATATATATATATATATATATATATATATATATATATATAAAATTGTACCTTTGTATTGTAGTGAATGAACATTTCATACTCCCCACCTAGAGTTGCAAAGCACTTGATAAAGAGTCTGTCTGCCTTCAGTGTGCTTTGATCATACTGGAAAAAAAATAAGCATAAATAAGGTGTTATTTTATGTATTTAATATGATTAGCTTCCCATGTGTAATCAAAACTATTTTCCCTAATAGGTGAATACCACCAATAAATTTCAGATACTGGATATATGTCTGCAAAGAGGGGAACTAGAGTTCATGTGCCCTCTTGAAGGGTGGTTATCTGTCTATCTGTATTTGAAAGTGTACTGATTCTAGAGTACAGAGTACTATTTATCTGTTCAGAGTTGGGACATTGTTTGCTCAAGGCTCATCAGGCTTTTCTTGACTAACTTAGCAGATATGCTATACTGATTGGGTATACCCTAGAGAGAGGCCACATCTGCATTTATATGCTCTTTATGAATAAATAAATTATAATAGATTGCAAAAACCTGTATGAACATGTTGGACGAAGTATAACTCAGCTGTCAAGTATTAATACAGTATTTCATATACTTATGTGGTTACTGTAGTTGTACAATAGTAGTAAGGACTTGCTCCAACCCAGTGCATGAATCTATCCCAGAATATATATAAGAATTTATAACCTGGCCCCTTTGATGCAACCATTTTGACATGGAAACATTCTGTTGGAACCTTGAAATGAACCTTAACTCTCAGCAGCTTTTGGAAATAATGAACATCCTAAAGTATGAGGGTTAGGAATGAATTAAGCCTATGAGCATGTCTAAATTAATGACTTATGTACTTGTGTTATGTAAGTGAAGTAGCATCATAGAATTATTCCAACCCAAATATAATATCTGCATTTAAGTAACAGAACATTCCACATGGAAGAAGTAAAATGTTCTATTGCTGCAAAAAGTAGAACTGAAACCAATTAGCAGATAGTATGGGAATTTCAGCAAATAAACATAATAAAAACAAATCTTAAAAACCAGATGCCTATAGAAAGTATTCAAAGATTGATGAATTTATGTCAGAAGATCATAGGAGCCAGCTTGAAGGGTTTTCCACTGGCCAAATTTGGGACAATTTGACCATTAAAAAGAATAATGAAGGTAAAGATTTAACAACAGAAATCCATGCATCCATATTGATAAAAAAGGAGAGAGGGAATAAAGGAATGCTCATCTGCCAATATTGTAAACTAATAAATGTAGAAGGAATGATGGACTTTGGAAATCACCATTTTCCAACCCTGATGTAATAATTATTTCAGACAAAGATTATCAGTAGATGCTAAAACTATTGGGATAAAAGTTCCTAAGAAATAGAATATTTATACAATCTAATTCAAATGAGGAGAGGTACCTCTACAACAGAAATTTGGTGATCACCATGTTAACCCTGTGATCAAACTTAACATCACTGATGCTTGACATTGTGTTTCTCTTAATGTGATGCAGTAAGAAATATACATTACCTGTGAAGTGTTCTTGCCAAAAGTATTTAACCTGAATCTAATTTAGCCAAGACTTCTAGTATGTAAGGAAAAAAGGAAGTATGTTAAATGATACCATAAGGAAACACTGAGACAAGTCCAAAATAGAAGGCATTCTACCAGACAACTAGCTAGGTCTCTTCAGACAATGCAGTGGAAAACAAACAAAAAAGATTGAGGCAGTGGGAACTGTTCTGGATTAAAAGAGACTAAAGACATACTAAATGAAATGAGTGACCCTTGATTGGATATTGGATTGGGGTGGGAGGAGCTATAAAGCTGTAAAAGGCATTTTGGGGACAGCTGGGGAAGTTTCAAGATGATATGGAATTGTTCATATCTTTAGATGTGATAATGGTATTGTGGTTATGTAGGAGATACATGCTGAAGTGTCATGATGTCTGCTACTTTCAGTGACTCAGCAAAACAAAACAAAGCATATGTGTGCAGAGAGGTGGTGTGTATTGTATAATAAAGCAAATGTGGCCAGATATTAACTTTGGTGGGTGTAGGTGAAGGGCAAATGGATATTTATGCTTTTCATTCAACTATTCTATAATATGTAGAAATCTTCAAAATAAAAAGTTCAGGAAAAATGTTAAGCTGCTCACTAGTGCATTGATTCATGTGGAATAGTAAGCAGTGGAGATACTCTAGCAGAAGTTGAATGGACTGGGTCCTTATCTAAAAGTGGCCATCAGTCATTCTAAGGCAGGGTTTCTCAACCTTGGCACTATTGACATTTTAGGCTAGGTAATTCTTTGTTATGAGGGGCTGTCCTGTACCTTGAAAGATATTTAGCTGCATCTCTGAACCCACAGGATGCCAATAACACCCACCCACATTTGTGGTCACCCAAAATATCTCCAGATATTGCCAAATGTCCCCTGGGGGGCAAAATTGCTCCTAGTTGAGAACTACTGTTCTGAGCTAAGGGTGGACTTATTCTTTGGAAAACTCACTTTTATCTTAAATAGTTTGTACCTCAGAGTCTCTAAATTTTCCTCTTCAACTAAAGTAGTTACAGTTATTTCAGTTAATAAAGCTATTGACTGCTTAATAAGAGGATTCATTGTTTTCCATCTTGAGAATCTTCTAAACCTGACTAATGAACCATCTAGGGTGCTTTTAAAAATATAAATTTTCTGTTCCTACCCCAGAAATACTGATTCAAAAATCTCTGAGATGTATCCTTGGAATGTGCATTTTTAATAGTTCCACAGATGGTTCTAATGATTAGTCAGACTTGAGTTCCTTTGTTTTAGGGAGTCATTCATTCATTTATTCAACAAACATAGTAAATGAGATCTGAGAAGTAATTGAGGTACAGTCAGATAATGTAGGACCTTTGGCTTCTATAGTAGTCTAAATGAGAAGAGAAGCTACTGAACATTTTTATTTTTTTGTTTTTTTTTTAAATAAGCTTTTTATATTAGAATAATTTCAGGTTTATAAAAACATTACAAAATAATATAGTTTCTGTATACCCTTTACCCAGCTTCCCCTAAGGTTAATATAACCATGGTACATTTGACAAAACTAAAAAATTTACATTGGTAAAAATGCTCTTAACTATAGCCTTTATTCAAATTTCACCAGTTTTTCCCCCTTATGTCTTTTTTCAGTTCCAGAAGTCAGTCCAAGATCCCACATTGCTTTTAGTTGCCTTGTTTCTTTAATCTCTTCCAATCTGTGACAGTTCCTCAGTCTTTCTTTGTTTTTTATAATCTTGAAACTTTTGAACACTAGTGGTCAGTTATTTTGTAGAATGTTCCTCAATTTGGGTTTTTCTCTGGTTAGACGAGGGCTATGGATTTTAGGGAAGAGGTGAAGTACCCTTCTCATCAGATCACATCACAGGGCACATGATATCAACATGAGGTGGTATTGGCCAGATTTCTCTACTGTACAGTTTCTGTGTTTCCCTTTCCAAATTATATTCTTTGGAAATGAGTCACTAAGAGTAGCCCACACTCAAAGAGAGGAGAATTAAGCTCTACCTCCTAAAGAGGAATATCCACATACATTATTTGGAATTCTTCTGTAAGAAAGATTTGTCCTTTCTCCCCCATTTATTCAATCATTTATTTCTATCAATATTTTTTTTTTTTTTTTTTTGAGACAGAGTCTCACTTTGTTGCCCAGGCTAGAGTGAGTGCCGTGGCGTCAGCCTGGCTCACAGCAACCTCAATCTCCGGGGCTCAGCGATCCTACTGCCTCAGCCTCCCGAGTAGCTGGGACTACAGGCATGTGCCACCATGCCTGGCTAATTTTTTGTATATATATTTTTAGTTGGTCAATTAATTTTATTTATATTTTTGGTAGAGACAGGGTCTCACTCAGGCTGGTTTCGAACTCCTGACCTTTGAGCAATCCGCCCGCCTCGGCCTCCCAAAGTGCTAGGATTACAGACGTGAGCCACCACGCCCGGCTATTTCTATCAATATTGACTCATGATATGTATTTTATTCTTTGGGCTATAATCCAGTACCATCAAATTGTTCCAGTTTTAGCTATTAGGAGCTCATTTAGGTTGGCTCCTCTGTCCTTTTGACATGGCCCCATCCTTTCGATTTTTTAATTATTCTTACTTTCCAGTTCTCCAAAATGCTCCAGGCTCATCCTGTATCTTCCTTGCCTCAGAACTAATATTGACCATTTCTCCAAGGAGTCCTAGTTTCTTTTATTCCAGAATGGTAGTTAGAAACCAAGATCTGGGTGCTAGGTGTGCCTGTTACTACTGGGGTATCACTGGTTCTAGGTCCTTTCAACAGACAGAGGTAGGAAATATATGTATGAATATTAACCTATATACATATACACATCTATAGTTACTCTGTATGTATCTCTCACATACATATATACATACATACATACACACACACACACATATGTCCCCTAATCCAGCACCACAGGGTTCATTCTAGCTTCCTTTACCTTGCTTTTTTTGTGACTTCTTATTCTAAAAGTGAGAAACCTGGCTCCCATTATCTATGGTTCACTTATTTGTTCAGCCCTATTATACATATAATGTCGTTTTAGAATTACTAACCCATGCCCCTGTGAGAAACTTATTTACCAACTAGAGTGCAGTTGATCTGTACAGTTCTTTTTGTCTTTCTTCTTACAATAGCCACTCAAAACATAGTCTTCCAAAGTTCCTGAAGTCAACTCCTTTTTCCCTCATCCTCTTCATTGCA